GGGGTAACGGGGTAACCCTTCGTCTCTGGGCTGGCGGTGGTAACCCATCGTCAGCCGAATCGGGCGCAGGGGCGCGCTCGTCGCGACGCGAGGCGCCTCGGCGTCCCCCCTCGTTTTCCTGCAGGCCGTAGACGAGTGCGGCACGATTCAAGGCGACCCAGACGCAGGCCGGCGCCTCCTGAACGTTCCGAACATGCACGAGACCGGGGACATCCACGGCGTCTTACCGGTACGCGTCGGCATGGAGGTCCGGTTCACGGCCGTGCAGGAGGAGCTGGAGAAGAAGTTGGGGCTCGTGCAGGAGCAACGGGCCACCATCGTGTCCTTCGAGTTTCACGCAGACGACGATGGGCCAGCTCTTCCGCCCCCGCTACCTATCGCAGGGGATCTGGCTGCAGGTGCACGGCTTCCAGGAGCCCCCGATCTACAAGGAGGTCGCCGAGGTGCTGCAGCAGCGCGCCGATGGCGCTGACGACGACGGCGAGGCGGAGGCGCGGGCGAGGAGCTTGCTCATGTTCAGGCCCAGCGAGCAGCAGTTCACGTGGCAGAGCTCGGGGGCGCACGCTGTGCGCCGCTCGGGGTTCACGCTGGCGCGCGCGCCCTACCTGACGTCCACGCTGTCGCAGGGCCAGACGCTGCGCAAGGGCGTCGCCGTCGACTGCGCCAGGGATGAGGACGCTGGCCGCACGGGCATGTCGGACGAGCAGTGGTGGCTGCGCCGCTACGTCATGTTCTCCCGCGCCACGCGCGTGCGGAACATGCTGATCCCGCGGCCGCCCGCGCGGGTGTTCCTGGAGCGCGGGCCGCCGGCGCCCCTGCGGAAGGCGCTCCAGGAGCTCGACAAGAGAGCGGTGGGTTCCAGGGCCGAGGCGGAGCAGCTCGCGGCAGAGCTGGGTTTCGTGCTGCCTCCCGCCTGAGCGCGGCCGCGATTAGCTCGGCGCCTGCGGTGTTTTCCCAGCGGCTTGCTCTCGCGCCCCAGCGGCTCGCGGGGTTGCCCCAACGGCTTCTCGATCTAGCCGTCGGCAAACGCGCGCCAGATTGCCGTGGCGGCAAGGGCGCCGAGGACCATCGATTTGCTTGCCCCGACCAGGGGGGCGGGGAGGTGCACATGGAGAAGAGGCAGGCGGAGGATGTGGAGGGGGGAAGGGGCGTGTGGAGAGGGTGACAATGAAGAGGAGGTGGAGGAGGAGGAGGAAGAGGAGGGGAAGGGTTGATGACAAATAGAAGGAGGAGGAGGAGGAGAGCTAAGAGCAGAAGGCGAGAGGAGAGTGTCCGCCAGAGGGAGGAGGGAAGGGCTAAGGGGAAGCTGAACATATTCTCATGTGGGGTCTTACCGTCGGAGTAATTTTTTGGGCACCCTTGGTAGCCTCGGGGGGCAATGTCGGGGCCATGTTGGAGGAGATCGTTTAACGGAGGGGGGCTTCAGGGCCCCCCCCCCCAGGAGGCCAAAATGTGGCCACGTCCGTGATCGCATCAGTGAGTTTAGCTTTCTCGCCGAGGCCTCTTGGGGCTGGGTGCTTCGGGGGGGGTCTCTTGTGGCCTCTTGGGTATCATTCGGGGGCCTCCCGGGGGCATCTTGGGGGCAGCTTGGGGGCCTCTTGGGCACCTCTTGGGGCCATCATGGGGCGCGCCCTTGGGGGCCTCGGGCACCATCGTTGGGCCGTTTTGGAGGAGATCGATCAAAGGATGGGGGGCTCCCCAATAGTTATGGGGTCTCCCCCAGGAGGCCAACATGAGGTCAAAACCTGCGTCAGCAGGATCAATGATTTTGGCCTTCTTGCCGAGGCCATCTTGGATGCTCTGACGACCCGCGGCCCGACCCTGTCAGGTCCAGGGGGAGGGGGAAGGCAAGCTAGGCACGTTCGCGTCATATCGGACATCCTACCCCTCCCTCCCATCCCTTACCATGGCGTAGATCCCCTCTCTAGTCGCGCAGTCGGATGTCGAGCAGGGTAATGATCCCGAAAAGGGTACGCGATGCATTGTAGAACACGGCATGGCATGGCGTAGAAGAGCACCGCACAGCGTAGTATGTCACAGCATGGCGTGGCGTGGCGCAGTGATGAATTGCATCACGAAAATTTGCAACGCAAGCCATGGCATCGCACAGCGGCCCCGAACATAACATTGCATATCATGGCATAGCACGACGTGGCACTTCAGCACTGCACATCACAGCTTCAGCCGAAGGCATGGCGTCGCGCAGCGGAACGCAACTTAGCATTACATTGCATGCCGTGGCATGGCACGGGAAATGATGCCAGCGCCGCAGCGGGAGCACGAGTCGAAACGGGCGGAAACGCGGAAATGAGGCCAGCGCTGCAGCGGGAGCACGATGCGGAACGAGCGGAAGCACGGAAATGATGCCAGTGTTGCAGCGGGAGCACGATTCGGAACGAACGGGGCCCGAAAATGAGGCCGGCGCCTCAGCGAGAGCAGCATTTTGAAAACACATGCAGGCGAAAACCCAACTCCGGGGAATCCTGTGTGTAAAACAACAGTACGCGGGGGGGGCGAACACACCCATCCCGTCATCAGGGGAAGGGGGAGAGTAGTATTCATATTGAGTAATTGTGGAGGGGTAAATTCCTCCCCGAAAAGGAAGACGGGGATCTGAAGTAGGTCCAGCCATTCGCCATCCAAAGCGCTTTTCCTAAACACGTTTCGTAGCATGCATGTTTCTCCGTTTTAGTTCATCATCTCTCTCGCATTGTTCGCACATGTTTGCGTAGCAGTGCTGGAAGGCTTCCATAACCGTCATCTTCAAATCTGGCGATCTGGCCGAATCACATATCTACAGACCTATCATTGTCACTCCGTTGTCGTACAAATTATTGAATCGCTTCGATCACTCCGCCGGCCCATCTCGCATCACGGTGGCTGCATGGTGGTGTGTTCGTACCTGCGGGGAACGGTAGGGCAGGCAGGACTGTCCTCAAAGGTAATATTTGGAGATGTGGTTCGCACCCTGTCGAAGAGAGCCGATTGATGGCGCCACTATGGCTCAAGAGAGTACCAACAGAGCTTCGAGACGTACCTGGATTGTGGGTCGGAATCCTCATGGATGCTTCTTGGGGTCTCTTCGGAGGGGCCCTCGAGAGCCTCTGAGGAACAGTTATGAGGTCGCCGGGTGTTTCTTGGGGGTTTCTTCGGGGCCTCTTCGGGCTTCCTGGGGCCCTGTTGGGGGTCGCTGGGACCTCTTTTGGAGCTCTTTGGGGCCTCTTGGGGCCTCTTGGGGGGCTCTTGGGGGTCTCTGGGGGCTTTCTGGGTGCCTCTTAGGGCCGAGAGCTCGAAATATCTGTTCGGGTTCCCCCTCTGGGTCCCCTCTGGGTCCCTTCGTGGGGCCATCCTGGGGCCGTCTTAAGGCCATCTTGGGCCATGGGGGGGCCCCCTTGGCGGCTTCTTGTGCCGTTTTTGGAGCGATCTTGGGGCCTCTTGGGACGTCGAGGGCAGTCGGCAACCCCCGCCAGAATCGCCCGAACACCGAAGCGAAATCTATGGTTTTCGCATCTTCGGGACCTCTCGAAGTCCTTTTGAAAGCCTCATGGAGCGTCTTGGGTGCTTCTTGGGCAGTCTTTGGACCAGCGTGGGCAATCTCGGAACGCTCCGGCCTCTCTGATCCGGCCTTGCCGGGACCTTGCCAGGGCCATTTTCGTCCGCGGACCCCCAGGGGCCGCCGCGCGCGCGAATTAGAAGACAGACAGACAGACAGAAGCCTTGCGTCCAGGTGGACGCGTTGGCAGGAAAAATACAAGGGACCAAACGTCACTCGAAACGCTCGAAGCACAGAAAGCGCTCGAAGTACGCGGGCGTGAAGAAACGCCATACGCGAATTATATATATATATATTATATATATATATCCCTATATATATATATATATATACACACATATAACATATAAGGCGCACCGGGTCCGGGGGCCCGGGGCCGGGACCTCGACCGCAAATGTGGGCTCCGGGGGGCCCGGAGGCTCGTCGGGGCTTGCCGGAGGCCTCCCCGGTCAGACAAGACGGCCCCAGGAGCGCCCAAGACGGCCCAAGAAACTTCCAAGAGGCCTCCAAGAGGGCTCCGAGATGCTGAAGATGGCCTCCAGACGTCCAAGGACGCCCCCAAGAGGCCCCAAGAAGCCTCCAACATGCGTCCCAAGAGAGCCCCTAGACGCAAAAGTTGGCCCATTCCCTTCGTAAAACGTACATTTTCAACAAAGTTGTCTTTTGGGCTTTCCGACGTTACAGGACGGCCCAAGAGGCGCCCAAGACCGCCCCAAGACGGCCCAAGAAGCTTCCAAGAGGGCCCCAGGACAGCCCAAGAGGGCCCCAAGACGGCCCAAGAGGCGCCCAAGATGGCCCAAGAGGGCCCCAAGACGGGCCCAAGAGGGGGCCCAGAGGGGGACCACGAACCGCAAGCTCGAGCCTTCCGCCCCAAGAGGCCGCCAGGAGGCCCCCAGGAGGCCCCTCAAGAGGCCCAGGAGACCCCAGACGTCCAAGGACGCCCCCAAGACGCCCCCAAGAAGCCTCCAACATGCGTCCCAAGAGGGCCCCTAGACGCGAAAATTGACCCATTCCCTCGTAAAACGTACATTTTCAACAAAGTCGCCTTTTGGCTTTCCGACGTTACAGGACGGCCCAAGAGGCGCCCAAGACCGCCCCAAGACGGCCCAAGAAGCTTCCAAGAGGGCCCCAGGACAGCCCAAGAGGGCCCCAAGACGGCCCAAGAGGCGCCCAAGATGGCCCAAGAGGGCCCCAAGACGGGCCCAAGAGGGGGCCCAGAGGGGGACCACGAACCGCAAGCTCGAGCCTTCCGCCCCAAGAGGCCGCCAGGAGGCCCCCAGGAGGCCCCTCAAGAGGCCCCAGGAGACCCCAGACGTCCAAGGACGCCCCCAAGAGGCCCCAAGAAGCCTCCAACATGCGTCCCAAGAGGGCCCCTAGACGCAAACATTGGCCCATTCCCTTCGTAAAACGTACATTTTCAACAAAGTTGTATTTTGGGTTTCCGACGTTGCAGGACGGCCCAAGAGGCGCCCAAGACCGCCCCAAGACGGCCCAAGAAGCTTCCAAGAGGGCCCCAGGACAGCCCAAGAGGGCCCCAAGACGGCCCAAGAGGCGCCCAAGATGGCCCAAGAGGGCCCCAAGACGGGCCCAAGAGGGGGCCCAGAGGGGGACCACGAACCGCAAGCTCGAGCCTTCCGCCCCAAGAGGCCGCCAGGAGGCCCCCAGGAGGCCCCTCAAGAGGCCCCAGGAGACCCCAGACGTCCAAGGACGCCCCCAAGAGGCCCCAAGAAGCTTCCAACATGCGTCCCAAGAGGGCCCCTAGACGCAAACATTGCCCATTCCCTTCGTAAAACGTACATGTTCAACAAAGTTGTCTTTTGGGCTTTCCGACGTTACAGGACGGCCCAAGAGGCGCCCAAGACCGCCCCAAGACGGCCCAAGAAGCTTCCAAGAGGGCCCCAGGACAGCCCAAGAGGGCCCCAAGACGGCCCAAGAGGCGCCCAAGATGGCCCAAGAGGGCCCCAAGACGGGCCCAAGAGGGGGCCCAGAGGGGGACCACGAACCGCAAGCTCGAGCCTTCCGCCCCAAGAGGCCGCCAGGAGGCCCCCAGGAGGCCCCTCAAGAGGCCCCAGGAGACCCCAGACGTCCAATTTCTTCTCACAACGATTCCTGGGTCTGTGACTCGACAGAACCTAAGCGCGCGCGAAGCGCGCGCGTGGTTCTAGTATATATGTATATTTATGTATATATATATATATATATATATATATATATATATATATATATATATGCACTAGAATTTTTAGCATGCCTCTGGCCTTAAGTCGGGCCTGTCCCTCTACAGGAGGAGCATCCGGAAATTGTCCAAAAATAGTCGGGGGACGATGTTTCTTTGATTTTTTGACTATGTTGGAGTACTTTTCGAGCATTTTTTAGTTTTCGTCGGATCTCGGCCTGTAGGAGATCACGCCCGACCTAACTCTGGCCCGTTCGGCCGGCGATTTGTTGTTGTTTGTTCGTGCCCTGGTGCCGCGATGCCGCCCGAGGCGCGCGGTCGCATCGGTCTGTTGTTGTGGTGCGAGCGAGAGGGGCCCCACGGAACAGAATGGAGAGACGACGCAAGCGACGGACGAGCGACGGGCGACGGGCGAGGACGACGACGAGATCAGACCACCACTCACCGAGCGCGCTCTGCTACTCGCAAAGTGCCTACTCGCAAACGTCAGAAAAAAAAACATGTTGGCCTCGAGGTCGTGGGTCGTCAACCCCCGCGGCGAATCCAGGCCATTTGCGAGTAGGTCGTTGCTCTTGCGGGTAGTCGAACGCGCTCATCTAACCACAGGGCACCGGCACACCCGGGCTCCGGGCGCCCAGGAGCCGTGGGCGCCGCCGTGGGAGCCGTGCGAGCCCTCGTGGGAGCCGCCGCTGGGCAGCACCTCTTCGGGCGCGGCGGGGGGTCGCGGCGCGCCCTCTCTTCCGAAATCTCTTCCACTCCGTGCATTCGTTTCAGAGAGTGCCTGTGTGTGCGCGTATGTGTGCGCGGAGGAGGAGGAGGAGGAGGAGGAGGACGAGGACGAGGAGGAGGAGGAGGAGGAGGAAGAGGAGGATGATGCTGATAATGTTTCTGATGATGATGATGATGATGATGATGATGATGATGATGATGATGAGGATGAGGATGAGGATGAGGATGAGGATGAGGATGAGGATGAGGAGGATGAGGATGAGGATGAGGATGAGGATGAGGATGAGGATGAGGATGAGGATGAGCAGGAGGAGGAGGAGGAGGAGAGGAGGAGGAGGAGGGAGGGAGGAGGGGAGGAAGGGGAGGGGGAGGGAGGAGGAGGAGGAGGAGGGAGGAGAGGGAGGAGAGGGAGGAGAAAGAAAAAGTAGGAAGGAGGGGAAAAGAGAAGGAGGAGGAGAATGATGGAGAGAGGAGGGATGCTGAGGAGGCAGGAGGGAGGGAAGGAGGGAGGAGGGAGGGGAGGAAGGGAGGAGGGGAGGAGGAGGAGGGAGGGAGGAGGGAGGAGGGAGGAGGAGGAGGGGAGGAGGGAGGGGAGGAGTCGGAGGGAGGGGGGGGGGAGGGGGAGGGGAGGGGGGGAGGGCAAGCTAGGTGCGCTCGCGTCATATCTGACGTCCTACCCCTCCCTCCCATCCCTTACCATGGCGCTGATTTTCTCTATCCGCGGACGCGTGTCGTAGCGGACCTGTGGCTCCGCGCGCGCGTGCGTAGTGGGTGGTGGTGCACGTGCGTGCGTGCGTGCGTGCGTGTGTGCGTGGTTGTGGTGGTGGTGGTGGTGGTGCTTGTGTGTGTGTGTGTGTGCGTGTGTGCGTGTGCTGATGGCATGGAATGACGCCAGCGCTGCAGCGGGAGCACGAGTCGAAACGGGCGGACCAGCGCTGCAGCGGGAGCACGATGAACGGCGGAAGCAGAAATGAGGCCAGCGCTGCAGCGGGAGCACGATTCGGAACGAGCGGAAGCACGGAAATGAGGCCAGCGCTGCAGCGGGAGCACGATTCGGAACGAGCGGGGCCCGAAAATGAGGCCGGCGCCTCATCGAGAGCAGCATTTTGAAAAAATACAGGCGAAAACCCAACTCCCGGGAATCCTGTGTGTAGAAAAACAGGACGCGGGGGGGGCGTCGGCTACTCCCAGGACGCCATCAGGGGAAGAGGGAGAGTAGTATTCATATTGAGTAATTGTGGAGGGCGGAGGATGGAGGAGGGAGGAGGGAGGAGGGAGCAGGGAGGAGGGGGGGAGGGAGCATGGAACAGGAAGGAGGGAGCAGGGAAAAGAAGGGAGGAGGAGGGAGGAGGAGGAGGCAGGAGGGAGGAGGAGGGAGGAGGAGGAGGAGGAGGAGGAGGACGGAGGAGGAACTCGTTCTTGCCTTTTCAGCTTGCCTGTTCCCGTGTCCAGCAATCGGCCACGTTCGCAGGACAACCCGGCGGGGGGCATGTTGTCGACGGCGCCTTTGGCGAGGCTGGTTGCGTGAATATTTGCTGTCAGCTTCCATGTTCTCCCTCCGGGAACTGAAGGTCGTACGTGACGACACGGGCTGTAGCCATGCTGTGCCAACGTCTATAGCGCAGTCGCCGTGCATGGAGGCGGTCGCCACGTCCACAAGGGCAGAGTTGAACGTGACGCTTTGGCACTCTGCGTGGGTGTCGTCATGCATTGGAGAGCGGCGTAGGGTCGATGTGGAATTCTCTTGAACCCCCCACGAAAACCCGAGCACGGGGCGGGTGCCATGCCCAGCGGGTGTGACAAACGCCCGACGAGAAGTCTGACAATTGCCCTACGGGTGCGACAGCCATGGCATGCTTGAATCCGCGAGTGAGGACGACATCGGGGAATCAGAAGGGGGAAGAGGAGGAGGACGTGGTGGTGGTGGTGCAAGGAGGAGGAGGAGGAGGAGGAGGAGGAGGAGGAGGAGGAGATGAGATGAGATGAGCCCGATCGCGAAGCGAATCCGAAACACGAGGGGGAGGACGGGCGGCGCGGGTGCGTGGGCTGTCCTGCGTGAGGAAGCCGTTGTCGGGGGCGGCTGCGCGCGCGCGCGCGCCGCTCGCCGCTGACACACACACACACCCACTTAGGGGCCCCGCCCCCCCCTCAACTTAATTAGGACCGACCCCGAGCCGCTCGCTCAGCCTTGCTGAGCACTTTAGGACAAAGGTTCCTGGAGATACGGTCGAGATATTCTCGCCGTGTCTTGGTCACAGGGGAGTCGGGGGACGAACACTTCTCGCCAAGCCCTCTAAGGTTACAGGAAAAGAACCTCCCACAGGACTTGCAGAACCAAAGGGCCAACGACTCGTGGTAAACCATCTGGTGAGAAGGGTGGACCCAGCCCCCAGCGAGGTGTAACCGCCGACCGTGAGGGGCCCTTAAAGTGTGCTCAGTCGCCCGAACTAGGGAAAAAACATTCCGATGATAACCACTGCTTCTTGCTCGCCTCGGAGCAACTACTATGACACCTCGAGCATTTTTCCCCACAAGACTCCACAGCATGACTCGATTGGACAAAGGCGACGACTGAGGGTGCAGGGGGAGGGGCAACGGCAGGGGCAGCAGGGCGCCTGACCTTTTTCCCGTCCAACTTACACGACTCCAACGTGGCCCTCAAGAGCCTCTCACGGATGAGGCGGATTTCGCCCTCGATGCGAAGAACTCTCGCACGCTGATCAGCGGGGACGCTGAACAACTTGGCGGCAGTGCCCGCAAGGGCGTCTACAAACACATTACCTGCAATCAAATGGCCTGGGAGACCTCTTGCCTCCACCTCAGCACCATATATATGAGAGGGGACTTTGAGAACGCAAACATCGCCTGGGTGTCGGTCCGACACTTGCAGAGCATCGCGCAGCCTCCTCCAGAGATCCGCATTGGGGCCCTGGGGAGCCTCAAACCACCGACTCCAGAATCCTATTGAAACCTGGTCATTATCTGTAATGTAGGGCAACGGCCCCCGAGATTTTTCGACGGCCACGACAAAACAGAAAAGCTCGCCCCTCGGCACCGATTGATGCCTGCCAGGGAGGGGCCCATACACATATCCCTGAGCCGAGGGGTCGGCGGAGGGGGCCGTGGCGAGAGGCGCACCAATCCTACGCAACCTGGGATAATGGGTGTCGGCACCCCCCGACGCATCTCCCCACGCGAGTAGGGGCATGTCAGGAGTGCCGCAACCGAAAAACTCCCCATCGAACTCCTCATTGGGGTGACTGCTAATCCAAATCTCATCGTCGGGAGGCGGGGAAACCTCAAGCATGTGAGACGGGATAAGCCCCCTGAGCCAATAACATTCGAGACTATCAGACTCTGCCAGAGCACGGGGAATGAGATCCTCTGAGGCTTCAAAAGCTCTGGAGTCCCGATTACACTCGCACTGCCAAAACCTATGCTTGGGCGTCTCAGGGCCTCCCCTACACCGTCGGCACTCTGCTGGGATATCATACCCTTGTGCATTTTTGCGCGCCGCAGGCCAGGCCCCGCCCATTGCAATACACAACATGAGTTCCGACAACTTCCGACCGCACTCGGGGGCCTGCTCCAGCCGGTAAAGGTAGCGCCGCAGCGAGAAGTTGTCCACCCCTCGCTCCATGCCGCCCCCGCAGAAGCCCTTGGAGGCCTCCAGCCAGAGTTGCCGTTGGAGAGTTCCAGCAAAGGCATCGATCAGCTCGCCGGCCTGGTCGAACGCTTCGAAGGCCTGCGAGCCGAAGTTCCATCCGTGCTGAAGTCCATCAGGGCCCGTCGGAGGATACCACTCCGTGGGGGGTCGCAACTCCCACTCGGCTCCCAGCATATAGTGAATAAGAGCTGAGAGTGGGCCACGAACGTGGCGAGCCCGATTGGACGGCAAGGTGGAAGTAAACTGCTGCACCAGATCTTGCCACACCAGGCCCACGGAGTGCCGCATCTGTGGGGAATCCAACCAGCACTTGAACCACTGCTCTACACATTGACGAGGAAGAGCATACCCTGGATCTGCTCCAGGCGCTCGAATGTCGAGCAGAGTCGTGAGGCAGCGACCGCGCCTATGGCCAGAAACTCCGCCTAAGCGTCGGCGCAACTGCACCAGCGAGGCCTGCGGCAAGCCCAGCACCTGGTGGCCGTGCCGAGCACCTGCCTGTGGCCCCGCCAACTCCACCTTCTTCAAAATACGAAATCGCCGAGACGAAGCCGCAGACCTCTTGATGGTGAGATGCTGCTTCTTCGTGTCCCGCATCCGCTTCTGCCGAGTAGCCCGACCACGCCGACGCCCACGCGAGAGATCGGTAGGCCATCTGCTTGGCACATTGGATCTCGATGCCACGCTTCTTCAAAGCCCTGACCACAGCACGAGCATCCGCCATAGAAGAACAAGACACCGTGCTCTTGTTGGCCAGCGTGAGCTTGACATCTGCCAAGAGGTCGGAGGTCGAAGTAGCGCCGTCGATCAGCGCCTGTCGTACATGAGCTCCGGAGCCAACTGCCGACTGCGAAAGATCATCGATCCACAATCGCTCCGAAAGTCCAGGATGCATGACCGTCAAGCGCTCCATGACCAGGCTGGTGACGCACCGCGCAAAGCGCGTGCCACTGCGGAGCCCTTGCACGATGCTCCGAGTGGCCTGGAAGGTGAGCGACACCGCGTCACCTTGATCTAGCATCCTCGGGCTTGCACATATCTGAAGTTCCAATCCTAACACTGCTGCTGGGAACCCGTACCGAAAGGCCCCCCTGACAAGAACATCCCATTCCATCATGTCATCATAGCTCTGGATGTCCATCAATGCGTGACCGTTGGCCATCTTGAGCCTAGTGTACAGCTCCTCGTTCAACGCCTTCATGTACGCCTCGCGAAGGGCGCTGTTGCCCTTCACCGCGGCATCCCAGCCGGGCTGAGAGGAGGTAGCCCACCGCTGTACTACTGGTTCGCGTGCCAGACTCCACGCCCTGCA